TGTGTGTGTGTGTGTGTGTGTGTGTGTGTATAAAGAAGGTGAAGTCAGAAGCCCTGTTTGTCAGCCCTGGCTCTGTTGCTTAGAGGCCCTTCCAGAATCGGTTTTCTTATCCCGGATACCTGAGGGTGTCATGGCTCTGGGTTGGGCTGCTAACGGCAAGGATAGCCGCTAGGTGCCACGAGGCACTCCACAGGAGAAAGATAACACTTTCTAGTGCCTTAAAGTTAGTCTCGGAAACCCACAGGTGGTTTTGCTCTGTTCTGTAGGGTCACTGTGAGTCAGAATCGACTCAATGGCAGTGAATGTGGTTGCGTGGTTGAACACAATTCCTGTCATCCTCTGTGCAGACAGCTCTGATTTAGAGGAATTAGGCCGGTCCCATTTATTAGACTGCTCTTCAGAGCAACTGGGCAGGTGTGTGTCTGGGTGTTTCTAAAGCCATCTTGTTTTTCTCATTCGAGGGGTGAGGAGAGCAGGGGTCTTCAAATCAGTTTAAAGAGAGAAAGGAGAAAAGAATGAGGAATAAGGAAAAAGAGGGTGAAAAAGGACTGGAGGGGAGGGGCTCCAAGGAGAAGAGGGTGTTGCTCAGGCTTTCTAAGGCTGTCAATCAGCCTGGCAGCTAGCTGTGAGCTTACCTGGTGCACCCCAGAGATCCCGGTATCCCCACTTGACAGTGGGATTTGCATAGCGAAGTGGCTCATTGAGCCAGAGAGGCCTCTGTCTGCAGAAGAGACCAAGCCCTTGCCAGCAGCTTCTGCTCCCATCTGCAAGCAGTGGGGTTCAGATATGGGTCCTGCAGTGTGTGTCCTATTTCAAAAGGCAGAGTTGGGAGAAGCAGCCTTCTATTGAGTCGACCCCCTTACCCGGGGGAGCAGGCTTCAGGCTTGCAGTGGCCAGCTAATAGCCAGTGGTAGGCATAGTGCTAATGAAGAGAGGGGGCAGAGGCCCTGAGCCTGTTGAGCGCCACGGGCCCCTAAGACACTGGAGAGTTGTTGGCGCCCAGCTTCTTGTCCTTGACTCCTACCTGCCTCCCTCTCTGGAGTTCCCTTTGGATTTTCAATCTCCATCTAATCTCATCCAGCCTTGCTGCCTGACTGGAGAGGGAGCCGGGAGGCTGTTAGAATGGCGCTGCTCAGGCTCTTTGGGCTAAAGAGTCTGACTTGGGCCAGCAGCTCCATGAAGTCCCCTCCCTCAGGCAGTTTCTGCCCTTCCATCTCCGTTAGTCTTCCTCGCCCCCAGCCTCCCTGCAGGCCTGGCCCTCAGCCCTGACCTTCCACTTGTTTCCTCATCCAACATGTGGAGGGCTGGCTCTTGCCAAGTACACACATGGGTGCAGACATGAGCGCTCCCACTCCCTCCTGGAGCCCAGGTCTGTAAACAAGGGCACATCTGAGGTCTGTTCTTATCCAAATCATGTGCATCCTTCTTGCTGGCATCTGCCCTGGGGTAGGGGCAAGAGCTCTGGGAAGACCGACCACCCCACCTCTATGGGGCATGGCTAGAGGGTGCTGGTGCTCAGGGCACTGGGCAGGCAAGGCTCCTGAGAAGCCCTTGCACCGTGTGGGGCTGCAGAAGGGGCGAAAGGCAGAAGAGTGCTGTCAGGAGCCAGCTGCACTCTGGCATCGTGGTGCCCTCTGGGCTGGGGCGCTGAGGTGGGGTGCTAAGGCTGTGATCCCCTCTCCCTTTCCCCAGGTGTGTGGTTGTACTCTTTAATCCCCGGAAACACAAGCAGCACCACATCCTCAACAGCTCCAGGTAAATGGGCCCTGGGGCTTTGGGGAGTGCCACCTTCCCCCAGGGATGGCCAGAGGGGTGCCACCTGCTTGCATTGGGCCCTGTTGGGCCCCAGGCCTGAGAGGGAAGCAGCACAGGGATGGCTGGTTTGCTGCCTCTGTTCTGAGAGGGGACTGTGAGGGGCTAGACCTGGGCCAGGTTGCCAGTGCCCCTCTTGAGCCTGCCCCCATTCCTTTCAGGAAAACCATCACTGCCCTTGCCTTCTCTCCTGATGGCAAGTACCTGGTCACCGGCGAGGTGAGTGAGGAAGGAAGCTCGGGCACTGTGCAGAGGGGGTGGCCTGGCCTCAGCAGATAGTGACAGCCTGCGGCCCGCATAGGACTGGTGCCACTTTTGACTTTCTTTACTGGTGTCCACTGTGGGTGTTTGGTCTACCCTAGAGCAGTGTTCTTAGGTTGTAGTCTGCGTCAGAAGCACCACGGTGGCCCCTTAGTGCAGACTGCTGGCGCTGCCACCGTCTTGTCTGGCCTCGTCTCTTTCGGGCTCAGCAGGTCTCGGTGGCTCTCTTCAGTTTGCAATGCTAACAAGTTCCCAGGTGAGGCCGAAGCTGCCAATTTGGGAACCACATTTTGGAAAACACCTCCTTAAAATATGCCTTATCCCTGGAGTCCCCCTGCTGGTCACAGTGTGGAACAGGGCTTCCCTCCCATAGACTTGCCCTGGGAGGCTGTGGGAGCAAACCGCAGGAGTGGTGGTTCGTGCCCATCCAAATCAAGCCAGGATCCCAGCTCTGAGAGTCCCTGTTCTCCAACACTGATCAAATTCCCTCCGGAGGTGTCCTTGATCGTGTGCAGTCTCATTAGAAAGGTCCTGTCCAGTGGCTGGGAGGGGCAGGCCCCTCCGTGGATGGTGAGGGAGCTGGCTTCGACTGGCCTTTACTTCGGGGTCTTCCGTCCCCGCAGAGTGGACACATGCCGGCTGTGCGAGTGTGGGACGTGGCGGAGCGCAACCAGGTGGCGGAGCTGCAGGAGCATAAGTATGGCGTGGCGTGTGTGGCCTTCTCCCCTAGCGCCAAGTACATTGTCTCCGTGGGCTACCAGCATGACATGATCGTCAACGTCTGGGCCTGGAAGGTGAGTGGGCTGCTGGCCTCAGGACAGGCGGGCCGGGAGGGGAGCCAAGAAACTGCTGACCGGCAGCCTTCACTTCAGCCTGCTGGCCTCAGTCCCTTTCTAGAAAACTCTAAGCAGAAAGGAGCAACTGGGTATCCAGGATGCTGCAGAATGGGCAGAAAGAGGTCAAGTTCACAGCTTGCCTAACCTCCTTCAATGTGTACGAGTTTCTTTTCTCTCAGCCCCCAGAAGCAGAGCCTTGATTTCCCTTGACTTTCTCTCCAGAAAAACAATGTAGTGGCTTCCAACAAGGTGTCCAGTAGGGTGACAGCAGTATCCTTCTCTGAGGACTGCAGCTACTTTGTCACTGCAGGCAACCGCCACATCAAATTCTGGTACCTCGATGACAGCAAGACCTCAAAGGTGAGGCAGCAAGTAGTGACCAGGGGGGGCCCTGCCCAGATCTGTTCCACCTGAGCCACCTTCTGCATGCTCAAAAGCCCCTCAGAAGTCTGAGCTGGGCCAGGTGCTGTGTCAAGCCATAAGGGAAGCCTGCTCCTTCCCCCCTCTCTCCCCAGGGCCTGCTTTCCGGGGGGGCAGCCTGCAGGGTGGGTGGGTGGCACCTGTGGTGTGTCTCCACAGGTGAATGCCACTGTGCCCCTGCTGGGCCGCTCGGGGCTGCTGGGGGACCTGCGGAACAACCTGTTCACCGATGTGGCCTGTGGCCGCGGGAAGAAGGCGGATAGCACCTTCTGTATCACATCCTCAGGGCTGTTGTGCGAGTTCAGTGACCGGAGACTGTTGGACAAGTGGGTGGAGCTGAGGGTAAGTGAATGCTTGGTCTGCACCCTCCCATCTGTCACCTCGGGCTCTGGGGGACCTGGGGCTAGGGGTGGGGTCTGTAGGAGGAGGTCCCAGGCAGAAGAAGGTGTTTGGGAAAGTTTGGGAATGTCTCCCGCCCCGTAGTGATCTCTTTAACTGCCTCCTCTCTGCTCTCTCGCTCTGTCTCTGTCTCTTCCTCTGCTTTCCTCTTCTGCTCAGCACGCAGACAGCATCACAGTAAGTATGCTAGCCCTGTCCTCTGCCTCCTCTGTCTTTCTCTTGGCTGGGCTTTTCCTAGTGTGTCTTCTGTTCCAAAACCTCTGGTGCCTTATAAGGCTTGCTGACTCCTTCCCACTAATTGCACAGGGCTGTGGGCCCTCTGGCAGGGAGGGGCATCTCTAGCAGACACTGAGGGGTTCCCGCCAGGGCAGCTGGCACGCCATGCCCTTGTCCTTGCCTCTTGGTTCGTGGCTGTTGAGGTGTCGGGTGAAGGAGTGGGCAAGACGCCCTTGCTGACTGGGGCCTCTGTGCTCACAGACCACCGTGGCCCACTGCATCTCGGTGAGCCAGGACTACATCTTCTGCGGCTGTGCTGATGGCACCGTGCGCCTTTTCAACCCCTCCAACCTGCACTTCCTCAGCACGCTGCCCCGGCCCCACGCCCTGGGGACAGACATTGCCAGCATCACGGAGGCCAGGTGAGTGGTGTGGGTGGGTCCCCTGCCTGTCAAGAGCCCTACTCTGTGCCAAGCCTTCCCTGGCGTGCTGCAAGGAGAGAAGGGTACACAAAGACCTCGGGGAAGACCCCTACAGTCAAACACATGGGGCCTTTTATCATTTGTTGCTCACTGCAGGCAACCGCGGTAATCTCAGTCTGCGGGTGTTTGATGCATTTTCCTTGTTAAAGACAACAGCTAGACAGACAGCTCCTTAGGCTTTCTGAGAGAGTGAGACTGTAAACCTTTACAGGAGCAGACCTTTCTCCCTCAGGGTGGTAGTGGTTAGCAGCCCAAGGCTTCCCCTGCCTGCCCGCTGAGCCACACCGGGTGGGGTGGGGTGGGGGGCAGTGGGTGGTAGGAGGGGCTTATTGTAGCATTGGGCCTTGTGTTGGGTGATTCCAGGAAGTGAAGTTTTGCTCTGATTTCAGTTCTGCAATTGGGTATCTTAATTTCTATTTAAGGGCAGGAGGGGGCTAAATCTGCAGTTGGTAGGGAACGATCCTGGAAATGATGTCTGACCATGGTTGTGGTTTGCACAGTGCCCTTCCTTGCCCTCTGTGCTCTTACATGATTATAGAAGGGCCTTACATCTGCTTGGCTGCATCACTGCCACAGACTGCCCCTGTCTGATGTTTTGTGTGTTTTGGAGAACACCATGGCAACTAATGCCAGGCCAGCCGCTGCGTCTTTCTCCAGTGACTGCTGGCCAATCTGCTGCTCCTCCTTTTCGTCCACCATTTCATTAGCTGCTCACTCACCAGTTTGCCCTGTCTCCCCTGGACACCCCACCCCTTCCTTCCTCAGTCGCCTCTTCACTGGAGTGGCCAATGCGAGGTATCCAGACACCATCGCCTTGACCTTTGATCCTGCAAATCAGTGGCTGTCTTGTGTGTACAATGACCACAGTATTTATGTCTGGGATGTGAAGGACCCCAAGAAAGTGGGCAAGGTGTATTCGGCTCTGTATCATTCCTCCTGCGTCTGGAGTGTAGAGGTATGTGAGCCAAGCTTGCTGAGACTGACCGTGTTTCCTGGGCTACCATTAGGAGGATGGAGCTGGGGCTCCTCAAGTGTGGAGTTTGGTTCCTCCAGCTCCTTTGCTCCCCCAGCGGTGCCCCTGGGTTCCTGCGTATCTGTTAATGGGCTCTGAGGATGGGAGGGGACTTTAGTACTAACTCATCTCAGACGTCCTTAGCTTTGCCTCTTTGGACATGTTACTGAACTTGATCAAACCTTAGTTTGTGCAACTGTGAAATGACATACCTGATGCATTTGATTTTTCCGAAAAGGGGAAAATGTAAGTGGGAGATTTAGAATGCCTAATACATACTAGGTGCTTGGTTAATGTATATTCCTTTACTTGTTAAAGACAACAGCTAATCGTTATGACTTGCTTGCTATGGGATAAGCCTGGGGCTGAGTCTTGACCAGCCTTTTCTCTACTCTCATTCCCTCCCATCTCTGTGGGCAGCCAAGGTCTGACCCTGGTTCCTCTGGTCCTTTTGCTCCTCCAGGTCTACCCTGAGGTGAAGGACAGTCACCAGGCCTGCCTGCCCCCCAGCTCCTTTATCACCTGCTCTTCTGACAGCACCATCCGCCTGTGGAATACAGAGAGCTCCGGGGTGCATGGCTCCACCCTGCACCGAAACATCCTCAGCAACGTGAGCCTGGTGCCCCCACACCACAGTCTCAGGATCTGGGTCTCCAGACCAGAGTGTTCCAGATGTTGTTTGGCCAAACTCTGACAAGGGTGTCCTCTTGGCCTGCATTTCTCTCCCTGACAGGTGTCCTGTGTCAGGCCTTCCTCACCCACCTCTTCTCCTGACCTGTCTCGCTAGGACCTCATTAAGATCATCTATGTGGATGGGAACACGCAGGCCCTGCTGGACACTGAGCTGCCTGGGGGAGACAAAGCCGATGGGTCCGTGATGGACCCCCGCGTGGGCATCCGCTCTATGTGCGTCAGCCCCAATGGGGAGCATCTAGCATCAGGGGACCGCATGGGCACACTCAGGTAAGGCTGCTACTGGAGTGAGGCCCGTTGTCTCAGAGGACAGGATGGGGGAACGTTAGGTCCCCAAGGACAGAGGTTTAGGAGGGCTTAGCTGAAAAGGGTTGGGGACAAAATTTGTTATCTTCAAGGGAAAGATACTAACTTGACAATGAAGAAACGGCAAAAAGCACCTTAGCCAAGTCATCAAGGTTAACATCCGTGGCAGCAGCCTGAATCTGGTGGCATGGTGCACTGAGAAGGATGTATGAGAGGCTTCCAAAAGTTCACAGAAAATGTTGTGACTCTGTAAGAACTCCCAATAAAATGTTGAACAACAACAACAACAACAACAACAAAAGTTCATGGAAAGTTTCTTTTAGTTCTATTTTTCCACGAACTTTTGGTAGCCTCCTCCTAGCGTTGTGTCTGTGGTATTCTTGACCCAAATGTTTAACGAACTTAGGACAGCCATGAAGAAACGTCAGGCAACCTCCATTGGAGGTACACCTGCCAGAGTAACTTATCACACTCTTCCAAGTGTCAGGGCAGGAAAGACAAGCAGAGACTGAAAGCTGTTCTAGACTGGGCCAGATGACACCCATGTGCCGTGGGGGCTCCTAGGATCCTGGAGCAGAAGAAGGACATTCATGGGACAAACAAACAAACAAACACACTCACTGGCATTGGGTTGATTCCCGCTCACCTCTGCGGTCCTTATCACTGTGTACTGTGGGTCTATAAAACACTAATGCGAAGGGAGACCAGGTGAGAGAGGTGAATGTGACACGTCGTTACTCATTTTTCTAAGTCTAAAGGTTCAACCCAAAAGGTAAAGTAAAATGACTATTGATGGAGAGGAAAAGGTGGAGGGGGAGGGTGATGATTCTTTCCCCCGCTACGGCCTCTCCTCTCTTCTTCTCATTTTGCAGGGTCCACGAATTGCACTCCCTGAGTGAGATGCTGAAGGTGGAGGCCCATGAATCAGAGATTCTGTGCCTGGAGTACTCGAAGCCAGACACAGGTACCTACCTGGCCCTGGCCCAGAATGGCCTTGAGTGAGCCCCTGCAGTCTGGCCAGAGCCACCGGTACTTGTCCTGCCTCTTGAGTATGGGGCTGATCATTCTTTTGGCTATCAAAAGAGTTAGTAATCCTTTTGATCATTTGGTGTCTCTGAAGGCTTCGGGGAGGATTGGATCTCAGCTCTGCCCGACTCCATGGCTCACGTGGCTTAAGGATGTGGGGCTCAGTTTCTCTGGGTGCTCTTTGCTGGGCACTCATCAGCTGATAGAGTTCCTCCCATCCCAGGTCTGAAACTGCTGGCATCAGCGAGCCGGGACCGGCTGATCCACGTGCTGGACGCAGGGCGGGAGTATAGCCTGCAGCAGACGCTGGACGAGCACTCCTCCTCCATCACTGCTGTCAAGTTCGCAGGTGTGGGCAGAGCACTTAGACACATTCTGTCACCTACTACCACTGCTACCTGCCTGCCAACCCAATGAGAAGGGAAGGCTGGCCTCGATGGGGAGGCCAGGTGATAGACTCCCAGCCCAGGGCATGCTGAGCAGGCCAGGTTGGGCTAAGGGTAGAAAGACGCACCTGGTGGTGTTTGTTGGCTATCCTGGTGTAGAGTAGCTGTGAGAGGGGAAGTGTGTGTGTGTGTGTGTGTGTCTGTGTGTGTGTGTGTGTGTATGTGTGTGGAGGACAAAGGAAAGGCGGCCCCTGTGCTGAGAACATGGGAACAGCTGGGCCCCCTCCTTCACAGCCAGTGATGGGCAAGTCCGCATGATCAGCTGTGGAGCAGACAAGAGCATCTACTTCCGCACTGCACAGAAGGTACAGCACTGGGCTTCCCGCGGTGGGTGGTGGGGAGGTGACGGAGGTGACAGCAGGGCTCTCGAGTCTGTCCACCTGTCCCCCCTGCAGACTGGAGATGGAGTGCAGTTTACACGGACACATCATGTGGTCCGGAAGACAACCCTTTATGACATGGACGTAGAGCCCAGCTGGAAGTACACGGCCATCGGATGCCAGGACCGAAATATTCGGTGGGTGCCCCTTTTTCTCTCATGCCCTGGGGGGCCGCCTCTAGGCATCAACTCCCCACTTTTGTCATTTTTCCTAGGATTTTGTGTCGCTTTATAATCTTAACGCTCCCAAGAGGTGGTGGCTCCCTTGGTGTTGGGCGGTGGCTCCCCTATAAGGGCACGGAGCTGGGAGGGAGGGCTGGGTTTCTGCCACCCCTGGGTGCACGATGTGGACCTTCTCCCTCAGGATCTTCAACATTAGCAGTGGGAAGCAGAAGAAGCTGTTTAAAGGGTCTCAGGGCGAGGACGGCACCCTCATCAAGGTCAGGGCCCCGAGGGATGGACACGAGGCCACAGGCCTGGGAGAGAGGGGTGCTGGCTGCACAGAGAGGACCAGAGCTGCCTGTCCTCGTCCAGCTCGGTGGTTTTCTCCTCAGGTGCAGACAGACCCCTCTGGGATCTACATTGCCACCAGCTGTTCTGACAAGAATCTCTCCATTTTTGACTTCTCCTCAGGCGAGTGTGTGGCCACCATGTTTGGCCACTCAGGTGAGTGTAGTCTCCTTGCTCCACCCCTGGTACTTGGCCTCTTTTGGGACTCAGCAGAGCTGCACGGGCCCTGCTCACGAGCAGGCCTGCCTCTGATGCTGGCTGAGCCTCGGGTGAGAATTCAGGGTGACTCACTGGCCCTGCTCTGTGCTCCTTTCCAGAGATTGTCACTGGAATGAAATTCAGTAATGACTGCAAGCATCTCATCTCCGTATCTGGGGACAGGTGAGCGAAGCAACTTCCCTGGGGGATGGAGTCTCCTCTGGGCCCTGGATGCCTCCTGCCTCTTACCTCTCTTCGTCTCAGGGCTTGGTGGCTGTGGTCTCTGGGACATGGGACTGCACAGGGATACTTGTGGGCTGGACCAGACCTGGCGGTAGAGGGCTGCCCAGGGAGAAGGGACTGATGACACTGCCCTTCCCAAAGGCTGTCCTCCCCTCCCTGACCCCGCTCTGTGCTTCTGTCCCAGCTGCATATTTGTGTGGCGACTGAGCTCAGAGATGACCATCAGCATGCGCCAACGACTGGCCGAGCTGCGCCAGCGTCAGCGAGGGATCAAGCAGCAAGGACCATCATCACCCCAAAGGGCTTCTGGGCCCAGCCGGTAATGAGAGGAGCTGGGCCCCAGATTGTGTGCTGCAGTCTTCCTGGCCCGCCCTCCCGGGCCCCAGATCTGTTATTTGGCCACTGCCTCCTCCCAAGACCTGTGATCTCACATGAAGCCCACCTGGTGGCCTCTTTCCCGACTCAGTCTCCTTTCCCTCTGCCCTTCCTTGTCTCAGACTCAGGCACAAAGTCCCCCTAGTGCTCTCGGCTGGAGCAGCTCTCTCGTCAGACAGTGACAAGGAGGGAGAAGAGGAGGGGCCAGAAGAAGAAGAACTCCCCGCTTTGCCTGTCCCAGCCAAAAGCATCAGGAAGGAGCCAGGTCTGTGGGGCTCAGGTCTGAAGGAGTCAGGTGGCTTCTGTGTATGGAGCAGCGAGATGTGGGCTTCCTGGAACTGTGGGGTCATGGTGGGGCTGTGGGGGACAGGACTCTGGGCATGGGTGGGCAGGAGCCACACCCTTTGACTGACTGTTTTTGTCTAGCCTTGGTCCCTAGTTCAGCCCTGCCACGAAGCCTGTCCCACTGGGAGATGAGTCGGGTAAGTCACCACCCTAAAGGCCAAGGGAGGGCTTTGGGGTGGAAGGAGGTAAAGCAACTGCTGATCCCAGTGAGGGCCGAGGGGAGCTCGGGTACTTCCTGCTGTGGGCTCCACGAGGTCAGAGAACCAGGGTGAGGTTGGGAGTGGAAGGGGGATGTCACCGGCCAAACAGGACTGAAATCGGGAAATCTAAGGTCCTAAGAGCAGCAATCTAGAGAGCACGCCCTAAAGCTCCCATGCGAGGCGGCCAGCTCGGGACACCCGAGCAGTTTGTTAGAGCAGTGGTTCTCAACCTTCCTCATGCCGAGACCCTTGCATACAGTTCCTCATGTTGTGGTGACCCCCGACCAGAAAATTATTTTCATTGCTACTTCATAACTGTAAATTTGCTACTGTTATGAATAGTCATGTAAATATCTGATATGCAGGATGTATTTTCATTGTTACAAATTGAACATAATTAAAACGTAGTGATTATCACAAAGCAATACGTAATTATATACTGTGAGATATTAAAAAAAATCATTTTATTGGGGGCTCATACTACTCTTACCACAGTCCATACATACATCAATTGTATAAATCACATTTGTACATTCGTTACGCTCATCATTCTCAAAACATATGCTCTCTGTAAGCCCCTGGCATCAGCTCCTCATTTTTCCCCCTCCCACGACCGCCCCCTTCCCTCATGAACCCTTGCTAATTTATAAATTATTATTTTGTCGTATCTTACACTGTCTGACGTCTCCCTT